GGGCTGGGTGCGGGCAGCGGGCGGGGCAGAGCCCAGTCCACCTGGGACAGTAAGGAGTCTGGGAAGGTGTGGGTTGGAACATGGGAGGGCCCTGCAGCTAGTTCCTTGGAGGTCATACCTGGGGTTCTGGTGTCCTTGAGCAGAGGGTGCCTTAGAAGGGCAAATACCTGTGAGGTGTTGGGGGCAGGTTTGTGACCCAGCACTACCTAGATTGAGGCGAGAGGATTATAATCCAAGGCCAGCATAGTTAGATCGTTTCTCGAACAACCCGAACCCGACCCAAACCTAATACATAAAGCAAAAACAAACAAGAAGAAAGAGGAAAGAGAAAGTGGCAGAGAAAGAGAGGGCGAGGTTGCAGGTAATTGGTTCAGGTGAGAATTTGGAACCACCAGAGGGTGCTGGGTCAAGGAGGGAGAGTAGCATCCTCTTAGCTTGGGGAGGGGAGGCAGAGTGGGTGACTGTCTTGGTCTCTTCTACTTTTTCTACCTTGAGGAAGGGGCTGTCAGAGCCAGCCTGGCCCCCAGCAGGGTGTGAGGATGTGGGTGGGACAGAGGCAGCATCAGGGCAGACCTAGGCACGGGGTGGGGTGGGGTGGAGGGTGGCATTTAGCTCTTCATCCTCTCTGTTGAGCAGAGGCAAAATAGCGACGACCGGAGAAGCAGGTGCTTGATGTGGGTTAGCAGACTGGTAGGACGCCCCAGGCTTTGCATAGGTTCTGCATTTTTTTTCTGGAGAAAGAAAGTGTTTTGTATTAGTAGGGACTGCTCAACTCTACTCCAGCCCCTGCCGGACCACAGCCTCCCTCTCCATGGGAACAGGGGAGCCGCTTCATGGAACTGTATGCTGAATTATGCTCTGGGTGAGACTGGGCTCCCACAGCTCTTTCTCCACCGGAGGCCAGCAGACTCAGGGCTGACTCTATCTACATGCACCCTGCGGCCACATCCCAGCCCCTCCTTGTGGACAGCAGGGAGGCCGATGTGGCTGTGTGTACTTAAGCAAGAGTTTGCAAGAGTGTGGCAAGTGCCTAAGAGGCCCCTCTGTACCACTTGATTGGCTGTGCCTCTAGGGCAGAGTTGAGAGCCTATTTGTGGTTATCTGTCACAGCCATAGGTATGGGGTTGGGAACTTGTAAATGAAATGCTGTATCCTACAAGGCAGTGGCTGGGCACTATGAGGAACAGGTTTAGGGCTGGAATTGTCATCTGTAACTCAACGTGGCTGGTGCCCTAGCTGGATCCTCATGGAGCCTGGGGGGGAGGGCTTAGGGAGCCTGGGGTTATGAATTGAGCACCCCACATTACTGGTGATGGCAGAGAACTGGGGTGACATGCTAGAGCTCTTAGAGGGCAGGTCCCTGCAGAGTTGTTAGGGTAGCTTTCACCCACCCACCCACCTACCCACCCTTGGCTCAGAGCTTCCCATTCCTCTGACTGGTGAGTCCACAATGACCCTTCCTACCTCAAATCCTGGGTTTTGCCTTGGGGGTGGATCTGAGCTGCTCCCAGGGGGTTTGAGGATTGGAACAGAGAACCCTGGGAGGCATCTCCGACTCCAGGGCTTACTGTTGTTCTTACCTCCTGCTTGGCCAAGACCATCCACTTCCTTGTTTTGCCTGCTGCTTTTCAGACAGCTCTCCAGCCCTTCTCTCTTTCTGCCTGTGGGCTCAGGTCTTTTACTCCCCCCCCCCCCCCCCCCCCACCCCCCCTCCCAGCCAGCCTTGACAAACTGGGGAATACTATGTAAGGGTGGGCAGGGATGGATAATTGGGGCTGAGATCAAGGAGAAGAACCAGGGACACTGGAGGTTGGTGACTCAGGGTAGGAGGGAGGGAGGGATTTGTGTGTGCCCTGTGTGACAGCGACAGGGACAGGGATGTCTGTATTCGGGGACAAGTGTCTGTCTGCATTTGGATGAGCTGGTTTTCCAGTGGCCTCCTGGGAGAGCTTGCTGTGACTCATTCCCTCCCTTATCTGTATGGGTAAGGCTCCTTAGCCAAGCGCCCAGGTCCTGGCTTAAGCAGGGGCTGCTGGGCCTGCAGCTCTTTTGCTTAGCCAAGACCCTATTCACAGGTAACTCTCAGGAGACTATGCAGCCCAGTGAAGAGCCAGCTGCCTATGCCTATCACTGGGGCCCTTGCTGGAGGAGGTGTGATACTCACGCCCTTGTTCTGGATAAACATCTCTTGGGCTCTCACCCTCCCAGGAACCCAGCTCAGAAGCTACCAGGCATCTGGGCTGGCAGCCAGGGCCCTCCTACTGCCACAGACACGTGCCAGCCGCCATTCCTGCCTGGCCCATCCCATGGACCAGCTTCTTGCCCTGAGGCAGGCTGGGTTCATGTCTCTGACTCCCTTCTCAGCCTTGATATTCGGCTCATGATGCCCCCTTTGCCCACTGTGGTATTGCTGTCTCCCATGCAGCTGCCTGCCTCACTCTACTGAGTTGCCCCCTCTTCCTACCCCCACCCACTCTGTCTCTACAGCTCTTACTATACTAGCAGGCCTGAATCTGAGACCTGCCCCTCCTCCCTGTTTGGAGGGCGCTGCCTGCTCCAGCTTTGTACTATCTTGAGCTTGGATCCTATACCCTCAACTGGCTCTTTTTTTTTTTTTCCAGATTTTTTTATTTGAATTAGAAACAGGATTGTTTTACATGACAATACTAGTTCCCTTCTCCCTCTTGTCCTTCCCTACCACTCCCCCAACTAAAACCCTACCTATCACATATCCTTTCTGCTCCCC